TTCATTAAATATACTATACTATATGTACTGTACGTACTGCACGTACTGTACGTACTGTACGTACTGTACGTACTGTACGCGAAAAAAATTGGGCTATCATATAAACGGCACATCACTAGGCATGTGCGACGTGCTATAAAGCAAAGACTAAGTTCATCAAAAAATATCTGAAATTACAATTATAATCCCATTATAGCAAATCAAGAGTGTTCAGGAATTGATCCAAATTGGGATTCTCAGACTGAAAATTTGAATATGATTTGTCCTTTGGAATTTCGAAATGATATAATTAATCTTGTTGATCGATATTATAACCGTCACATGCTACTACCAAAACCTAATGGAGAATTCGTAACAGATTCGAAAATAATTTGGGAAGAATCGGTTACTGAGATTCATAGATATTGTCAAAACCATAATTTATTTAAACTTTGGCTTTATTTATGGTCAGAGTGGTATTCTTATAAAAAATGGATTTTGTGGGCTAGAGCTGCGAATGGTAGAATTAATCATATTAAGACGACTATGATCATTGAGTCGCATTGGCGACATGTTAAACATGAATACTTACATAAGTTTCATCGACCACGCATTGACCATTTATGTTATATTCTTATTCATAAGGTCATTAATCAACAGCTTTACCGAATTCGCCTTTTGCAACAAAATCGTTATACAGTTCCATGGAGAAAAGAGTTCAAAAAAGAATGGCTAATACATAAAAAAAAAAATTAGCTTCCCTAATCAATATAAAACAAACACAGATAACTGGACTTGTTCTTGTTATTCATATCTTTCTAGCCGGTTTTTTTTTATGCAAACATCTTATAGCTAGAGTTGGCCAATTAGATCGTGATTTCTTTAAAAAGGTATCCAAAAATACGAATGTTTGATATTTTGCTTTTTTATTATTTTATTACATATTTTATTTTATTTTTACAATTACAGGTGCAACGGAATGACAGCTATCCGATTATTGGAATAAGTAATGATGAAATTCAAAATGTTTTTAACTTTCAAGACACTCATATAGATATCGAAAGCATTCCAATAAATTACAATTCAATTGAAGACTATGAAAATGACTTCGTACTTAGCAGCGATGATGATAAAGAAAATTCCGATGAAGAGGTCTTAAATCACCTGTGCAATGTGCTTGAAGAGGTAGTGACATCGGATTTTTTTTAAATTGTCAACATTAATTTATTTATTTATTTTTGTATTATAATTTGTTAGAGTAAAAAAATTCTAAACATTTCACGAAATAAACCCAATCGAAATATCTGGCTAAAATCAGTCCGTTCAAATTTTAAAGCTTTAGAAAATATGGTTGAAGACATCAAAAAACTTGAAAATCGCAAAACAACACCTCGAACTTGGACGGATTTAAATCACAATACGATGTATTGGTTCTCATAATTCGCCTTTTAATTATTTTTTTTATGTATATTTGTTATGCGTTATTTTTAGATTCTGTCAATTAATGTTTGACATATGTTGTTTTTCAATTAAAAAATGACGTACGTCA